AACTGACCACATTATCTCTAATAAGCAACTACTCTATGCAAAACGCGTTTCCATTGAATATAATCGCTTGATTTTCTCTACATATTATAATATTGTCATTCTTTTACATTTAATGCAAAACGGGAAAACCTTTACTGCAAAACTTGTTATTTTACAATGCCATAAGCACAGTGTTTAGAGCGGAAGCCTTTTTAGAGCTATTGATTCGAATAAGACAAAAACCATACAGTAATGTCTCTGTTCTGTCTCATCTATACTAAAATTATAAAGCTGAAAATTTTGTTGGTTTGAACGTTTGAACGAAGAACTATTGGTTCAAATTGTAAAATTATGTTTGTGTTCGTGAAACATTTATCGAAGAGGGCTTTAGGCTATACACCACTATGCTGTGACCAATGCGAGCGAAGAAACAGTGGGAAATGTGGAAAATTAGGCATCTTTAAGGGTTTCCTTTGCGATGAATAAAATAATGATTCCTCTTTAAGCGATCTAATAAAATGTGCTTGACAGTATTTATCTATTTTTTAAGATTAACTTACAAAAACGACGGAACGCGAATGAACTGGTGAAGTAGGACTGACTACCTACTGTAAATTACTTACCTACTAACTGTAAACCGTATAAAGATGATGTTTACAAAAACAAATTTTGCCCGAAATAACTAGTATACGCGTACAAAGCCAGCACAGCTAGTAGGGAATAAGAATCTTCTAAGAATCTATTTTTCGTATTAAATCCTGATTGAATAATATTTTTCCTCACATAAAACGCTTTCAATCAAACTAAAATATATGAAAGGAAAATTCACGCGAAGAAAAGACAACGTATGAAGTAAATAAAATATTGGCGTCGGGTGTAGGTAAGCGTAGCTACCGTATACCAGTTACCGTAGGACAGGTATATTGTGGATGTTATCGAATGCTCGCCTATCTCGATCCAGCTAGATTGAACTGGAAAATATCCAATGCAAATATCCCATTGGCGGCTTCCTGGAGGTATGAAGGTTGAATGTGGTATTATCCATGATACTGTCATAAAATTACGTTCGCTTGATGAAACGTGATACAACCGAACAACAACAAGATGCTTCCGAAATACACAGACTGAAATCGAAACGTCATTCCATTTTTTATCTGTGCACCGGACAAAATTTTATATTTGAAACTTTATTATTTTTTAACATGTTATGAAGGCACTACATATATAATTAAAAAATCGAAAATAAATTGAAAAAAATTCTACTCGGGCAGGACTTGAACCTGTTCATCGTGAGCAACATCACGGAACGCTGACGATGCCGGTTGAAATCCTGCCCTAGTCGATTTTTTTTTTTTTCAATTTATTTTCGATTTTTAAACAATTTTATATTCCTACCCATTTAATATTCAGATTTCCAGACGAAGTCCAACACCTGTGTTCATGTCTAAAGATTTTAAATTGATTACACACATAGTCTGTTGATTAGTAGCCAGACATTGCTACCATAATACCAACGAGCCTGTCAGATAATATGTCCACAGACAAACGAATTGTCCACTTGACAATAGTAAGCAAGAAAGACTTACATATACTGTTTAAAGATTTAGCTTAATAATGGGGTTTTCTCTCTCTACAAAAGTTACAACAATTTATCAAATAAATATTTCAATATCATTTATTAATTATTAAATTATATAGAACTTGCCACAGTGTAGTGTTACAAACCTACCACAATAATTAAAGATAAATATTAGTTAAACATGCCCACAGGCTATATTCACTCGTCAGATGTAAACAACATTTTAACAGATACAATAATAGAACAAGCGATTTATAATACAGCTTTTAAAGTCCACATTTTGAATTACATTATACGTTATAATAATTCTCCTTATACAAGGTAAGTTACGCGAGTAGTCGTACAAATGAAATATTTTTAACGGTTTAGAATACGGTTGGTTAACTTATTTTAACAGCGTCATTAGGGACACTATACTTGCATTGACTACGGCACGTTTTAAACCGTTACGCATGTTTTGATATTAGTAATGATCTCGCTGAGACTGATACAATAGTAAGTCAGTGATAAGTAATCTATTTTAATTAATACAAGAACGGTGACTTAATTAGTAGAGCTGCACAACGGATCGTGGTCGAGAATTCGAGTCCCGCCGTGTCGTTAAAATTTTTAAATCTTTTTTTTATTCACAACATGATACATTAAATACAAAACACGGCCCATTTCGTTAACCCTTTTTTTTCGTTAACACGTAAACACTTTTTCATATAACATAAACATAATGTACACAACCTTATCTGATTTTCGTAAATCTCAAGTAATTGCGAGAAGAGTTCGGAAGAAAGGGTGAAATTTCAGTCACGCTTCGAAAGGGAAGAGTTCTCATAAATATTGTAATCGCAGTGTATTTCGTCCATTGATGAAATTTATTTAAATATTTATTTATGTAGTTAGAAAAACGACATAATTACTAAATTATTAAGTATTCATCAAAAATTATTGTAGAATTAAGAATATAACTTTTTTCGAAGTTTCCAAGTTAAGACCATCTATATACATATAAGCAAAATCAAACGTATACATCTAAAAACAAAATTGTTCCGGGAATACTTTAGTTCTCTTGATACTTAATAAAAAAATATATTTTTCTACGTATTAATAAGAAGACGCCCAACCACGTCGTTACTTGTAAGATGTAATTAATTAAGATTGAAACAAGAGATAATTAACCGGAATGTAAATTATCTTAAAATTTATTTGACCTCCTCCGCAGATTCTATTATTTGAATTCAGAATTCCCGCCAAAAATTGTGTCATAATGGCTTTACCCTAGGGGGAAGGTCAAATTTCATTTACCCTAATGAATAATTTTCAGGGGCTAGCGCCGTACATCTTAAGATCAGGCATTTTCCTTTCAGTGCTGTCTTTACTGTAGATTTCGTACTGTATGAAAGGGACGTATTTAAACGGTTTTATTTGTTTAAAATATTGTTGTTACATGTTACAAAATCACTCATAAAACAATTTTGACTCTAAAAGATATAACAAATACCTTGATCATTAAAATATATTAAGTACTGTTTGTACGCGAGTAGATACATTTAAACAACATACTTTTAACGGTTTAAAACGCGAATTATATTATATTTTATAACGAGAAACGTTCTGTAAGGACCTAGGTAGTTTCTCTTAATACCAACTACGAGGAAACAGATAGATGATGAACCGATGGCTTGACATTAGGGACACCCTCGGTCTTCAGCCCCACTGTGACCATGACTACTGCTAAACGTTCCAAACAGATTAAATTAGTTTAACTAAAACATCTCGCGTTGTAATACGTTAAAAAACGTTTATTGAAACGAAATATGTTAAAATATATTAGCATACTACAAAACCGTGTTATAAGTATTTTTGATTTAAAATTCTAAAAACCGTGTTAGAGCATGACTAAAATATAATTGATAGGTGAATATAGTCTGTAGGAAGTCACTTAAATACTTTTAAGTTAAACAGACATATTATAAAACGCCTGTAATTAAATTTATGCAAATATATCCGCACCTTCATAGCTCGCACAATTTTCAATTTACATATTGCCTCGAGGTACATAACGCACCAAATTGGTTTTTAATTAATTTTATATGTAACAATACTTATTATCGCATGCTTCAATACAAACTTTGTTTTGTATTTTTATTATTTGAGTATTTTTTTGCGCAGATTATCTTATACGATTTTAAATTACAATTACGATTACAAAATACTCATTTGTCCTTAGAAATAAATGATTAATATAATTTCGCTTGTCAAATTTCTTTTTAGGTAAAACGTTTCCTATTTTCAGATGCCAGTAGCAGCAAATTCAGAACTTGAACGCTTCAAACAGACCCTCAGTAGACTAATGTACTTAATCTTAATAGGAATCTTGGTTTCATAATGTCCGACTCATCAACGTTTTCCGAAAAGTCCCACTTTAAAGCCACTTTGCTGATAGTGTCTCTTTTTTAATAAGTTTGAATTGACTTTAATATTTTGAATCTTTTAAAGTGTATTTTTCAGGAATATTTTTAGGGATCTACATTTGATAACTAGAAACGTGTTATGTAATTTTGTCTATAATTTCTCAAAAAGGTTTTTAGTAGTACGCATTAAAAAATAAAACACTTTAACGGTTCAAAACGCGATATATTTTAGTTAAACTTGTTGAACTAAAATATGCCGCGTTTTAAACCGTTAAAGTATGTTATTTAAATGAGTTTGTCTTATTTATTCATTCAGAGGTTTTTAACCAATCGTTTTAAATAACAAATATCTCGTGTTTTGAGACGCCCCTCAGAATTCAAGTCACAAAAAATATTCAATTTACTATTTTAGTAAAATCAAAATATTGTCTTTGAAGGTTGATCTACCAAAAATCTTAATTTTGTTTGGCACAAATAAATAAGGATATGGTTTATGATTAAAAATGATTTAGTGTATATCTAACATTATTATCATCTTAATATTATATCATTAAAAATATGTGTTCCTGGTGTTAGGAATTGTCAAATTATGTATCTGTGGTAGTCGGTAAGATTGCAAATGTCATACAAAATATTTTTTAAAGCGACATCTGCTAGTCTCAACGTGAACTGATTCAGTATATTATATTGAGGGTATTCAAATAAGTAAAATTTTGTTTATGACATGTTTTAAATTTATGTTCAAAATTTATTGATATTTTAATTAGCAATCGGTAAAGACAATAATATTTTTCAGATCCGATTAATTTTAATAAATATTACATAACGTAGTATGTGCCATCTAGTGAATTGTAAAGTAAAAAACAAGTCCATCTCACGAAGAAACTCGGAATCAGGATCGTAGTTTCGCACTTTGTCCGTGGCGCTCACAACCCAAACAATGAATTCCAACATGGTGGCAATGTGATACACAGTTTGAAAATGCAGGCCGTGTCATGCTTTGAAAAAAATCATTTTATGCGTGAATTTGCTGGAAAATGTCGGACCCTAAACGTGCTGCTATTATAACAGTGGGTGCTCCGAAAAGTGTTAAGAATAATGTGACTAAAACAGTGAGATTAACTATAAATTTGGACGAAAGCAACGAAAGTAAATATCCCGAGCTGAATTACAAGGAACTAGTCATAGTAGCAGCGGTAAGTTATCACAGAAAATCATAGTAATTTACGCAACCATACTAGTTTTTCAGCTCTTTATAACATAAGGAATCTTTTGAAGACATAAAACGGGGATAAATATAGGCTTTGGCGGGTAGAGATAGGTCCGAAATCAAAACTGTAGATTTGGCTTAGATAATTTTCTGCTTACGTTACATGGGTTTGTATTAGGTTTGTTACATGATTTTGCGTTCACGAGCTGTGCGAGAATCCCAGATATCGGTCGCCATGTTTGCAACAATCTCTGATGGATGTTGTCAACCTAGGACATCGGCTTACGAGGGCAATGTTTTGATCCAATAGAACTATTTATTTCGTATTTATTGCCAACTCAAATGAGATTATAATGAAGCAATATTATGAGGAAAAACACGTAGCACATTTTTTAATTATTATGTCCGCTGAATAAGACAGAAAACGTAGCGAAAGTAGCCTATTTGAATGACCTAAGTTAACCTGCCTATTGCAGTGCTATTTCCGGCCAAAGCCTGACTATACTTTCTAATGGCATTTTAATATTACCAATATTGGAGGGATATATAAGTAATGATATTATAATTAGCGTAATTATATACGGTCTTACCATATAAGGTATATAAAATGGGCAAGATAGTGCTCGCATGTGTGCGTCGCGTATTTATTTACGTTCGGCATATTGATATGTAATAAAGAAATTCAATAATTATTAAGTTTGTAGTTATCCGTGAATACAAATTGCAGTTTGCGTGTAGGTATAATATACTATATGCGGTTATGTAGATAGCGAGCTTGTAATGTTGGCACGGGTTAGGTTCGCGAAACTTGGAAGTTGGTAGGGGGTATTGTAGTATTTTCGCCATTCGAGATCTCCGCTCATCTCAAGCTTTTGTTGGCTTGAATCGATTGCAGGGGTAAATAACAGTTAGGTTATGTTATAAATATATATATTGGCAGAGTGCGCGCGTGTGTGTGTCAATCAGGTATTTTACAATACGAGTGCGCTGGTGTGTTTATTTACTTGTACTTTGTGTTTCGTTTGCGCTGAGGTTATTTTTTGTCGTTTAGAATGTAAATAGCGCGTGAATAATTTAAATGATTAAAATACGTAACACCTCGGATAAGATAATGGCGTTTTGAGACAATGACGATATTATGACCGATTTTGTATTTGGAATGCTCATTGTTTACATTTTTTGAGCGTATTTTTTATAATATTTAGATTAGGACATTGTCTTGCGTTAATATTTATAGATCGCGTCATGTTTTTTAATTAAGTTCTATTTGAAGACTTAATATCGTATTTACGTTGATTAAAATGCAAATATAATATATTAATTGTTGTGATTTTAGGTGCTTATATATTTTTTCTATGATAATGTTTCTAATAGATAATAATTTGTTGTGATAATAGTTTTACACTTGATTATGCTGTTTTATGTCTGTGCCATATTCCTAAGTAACTTTTTTAAAGAGTAAATATCTCGCCAGTGTAATAAATTTATGTGTGTAATATTCTCCATAGAAAAAGAAACGTGTAGAAAATGGAAAGACAGCTGGGTTGGACCCTTTCTCCGATAATGACGATGATGTGGAGAGAGTTGCGAGGAAGTTTGAACAAAAATATGTGAGTTGAGTCTTATTTATATGTATAGTCTTGTTTTATGGAGCAACTCATTTAATTATCTGTTTTACTAATAAATTTTGGACTTCTGTGGTCAGCTTGACATACTGGTTGACTAGTGCTTGGCCAAAATCAAAATGTTCTTTGATCTTCTTCTATGATCCAACACAAGTTAAACTTTTTTTTTACCCATTATTATCTATTTATGTCTTTGATATCCTGGTATTTAAACTCTCTTTTTGAATGTTTAGAGATAGTGTTTGAAAGTAAGATAAGCTTAACTTCATGATTCATGAAAAATTCATTTTCTTTTTCATGAGAATCATGAAAGAGAAATCCTGTGCGACAAAAGTAAAATCCCATGGACATAATACAACACTGTTTCCGTATTCACTAATTGATTTTACTTATGAGCAAGGCAGATCAGATTTCAGTCCTCGGCCACACTGAAAGAATTTATAGTTGTGTTACCTGTGCGCTTAAAGAGGTCTTCATCATTAATATTCCTATTATAATGTGGATTCATAATAATTTGGGCTGTTAAATTGTTAATAAGAAACTTGGCCATTAAAATTAAAATATAACCAAATATCCTTCATAAGGAGAGAATATATGAATAGTTTTAGCAGCAAATGTAGCAATAATCAATTAATATCTTATAGGGCGGCAACAGCACATACGGTAGAAAAGGTAGATCAAAGTTTGAAGAGTTTGCAGACATTGGTGCGGGATATGATGAGAATGATTCCTTTATTGATAACACTCATGGGGTATGTTTAATTGTAATATGAGATATGTAATATATTTATATATATATTTTTTTTATTCATGTTAATAATAGAGGAGAACAGGCAAGCATGGGGGTGAAATACCACAGCCATATAACATCTACACAAGATGTGCTATCAACCTATTTTGACTTTGGATATTCGGAAATCTACAGACTGAACAGACAGACAGATAAGGAAGCCGTGAAGTTTTATCACTTAACACCCATTTAATATCCAGATTTCCAGACGAAGACCAACATGTTGGACCCAGTGGGGATTGAATCCACGACCCACTGATTATTAGCCATTTTTGTTACCATTAGACTAACATGCCCGTTATAATGAATAAAGTTTGATTTTTATTTTTTTCATTGCAGTACGATGAGATGATCCCCCCAGAATGCGATACACTGTATGGAGGATTTTATATAAACAGTGGTTCATTAGAGTTTAAGACGGTTCCTGAAAATCAAACGCCTCACTCCGATGGGGATAGACGTAATAAGGTAATGATATATAGTAATTAAACAAAACACTTTTAACGGTTTAATACTTTGATATGATACTCGAACAAAAATTTCATCTCTCCGTGACCATAGCTTCTGCAAAGAATCTGAAACGTCGGGTCGCAGTACAATATAAGTTGGCTGTATATATCGCGTTTTAAAATGTGAAATGTGTGCTACTCGCGTGAACTAAAGATAATGTTTAATATAGTATGTTTGTTGATTTAATGTACAATGACTCAATTGCTATTCATATTATTTCAGAGACGTATATCATCAAGCAGCAGTGAAGAGGAATCATCGGAGAGCTCATCAGATTCTGACAGTCAGGAGCCCAAAGAACCGAAATCTCTTACTAATGGCAATGTTGACTCTCACAAGACTGAACATAGGAAAAAGGTATTGTATTTTATATTAAGACTAGATGTGACAGCGACTTCATCCGCGTAAAATAGTTACTTTGGCCATTAATTTGTTTTTGCAAAGCTCCCCTTCATCTTTATAGATTTAAGCTGTTGCCCACGACGTTGGTCGCGTCCCATTCGTTATTGCAAGTTATTCTTAAAAGATAGACATTAGTGTCATGGACATTTATTTAATATTATTTAAAGATAACCATTATTAAACCGTTTACGCACCATACGCAATGGAAACTTACAAAGATGAAAAATTTTCCCTGTTTTCTCCACATTTTTTCCGCTGTTTTTTCCCTCCTATTGGTCGCATCGCCATGTTTTATAGCCTACCTCGATAAATATTCTTTTTATTTGAACAAGTAATTCATGAAATCAGCGCTTTCTACAAACAAACAAACTCTTCTGCTAAGATTATCTTGAGTTTTCGAAGCCACATTAGTCGACCACATTCTTTTTTAGATGAATGAAGATTTGATTCATGTAAGTAAATATCCTTTCACCATATGGATTATGGACGTTCTGTATTACTGGTGTATTTTAAAGGCATTTATAACTTTTATAAATTATAATACTTGCTTTACTTTTGACCTGTGGTAATCTTGCGATTTGGATCCACTCTCTGACACCTCTCTATGGGGATTTAATATTTACGTCTTTATCATCTTATTACAGAAGAACAAAAATAATGAAAAGAAAAAGATGAAGACAATAAGTGGAACTGATTCAACCTTAGCTACATCTGGCAAGCAAACATCTGATGGTAAGAAGAAGTACTGTTGTTATAAAAAAATGCAGTTCGTATATATTATTATTTTCTATCGGTACACCAATAGAAGGCCAGGTCAGTCCCCATTTCCTACATGCCTCTGCAACTTTGGGTTATCCAACTCTCACTGTCCCCTTCAAACCTTCTAGTTTGCTTCCAGAATCTTATTATTTGTTCCATTGTACATTCTTTGATGAGAAGGTAATCTTCTGTAACTTTGTCTGCACCCATTTCTGTTTGCCTTAATCTTGAGTATGCAGAGTGTTCAGTGAGTAGATGGATTATAACCATATAAGGCTCTGTCACATTTAAGAGTTAACTTTTGAAATAGCAAATAGGTTTCAAATATACCTGCTATTTTTCTTAGTAACGTAGTAATTATTGGAATTCTTTTTTAATAGTGTACTCTTTTTAGAAGCTGGTCCAGGTGAAGGCTCAAGTACTTCTCAATCCGACTCTCTCACATCGAAGCCTGCCCCGAGTTCAGAAAACGTTGTCACTTCAGACAGCTCTAGGTAAATTCCTTATACATTTTGTAAGATATTATCAAAGCTTATATTTAATACTTGGCTTATTTTATGTTTTAAATAAATGTCTGAAAATACTGGTCCCTGTATATCTCACTGTTAATTAGCACCCAAAAACCACCCAAAAACTAGGGCTCACTCCAGTGAGTCCTAATTTTTGGGTGTTTATTTTAAGATTTTAATACCCAAATGTTGGGCACAGGTATTAACTCAATCGGAGAGGGTTTTAAAAGATTTAGTGTGTATGTAAACTTTCATGGCTACAGCCACTAAATTACTGGTTATAACCGGAACTGATGGACATACTTTCCTAGGGACAGTGTTCATGTAGGGGAAACTATGATATTTCTGGCTTCTTTCTTGTAAGACAAATTTAGGATCTTATGTAAATAGCAATTGAAAGTTATATAATTATGTTTTATATATTCTTCAGAGAACCAGAAGTGAAAGTGGAAATAAAACTCCCACAAATAGTATCAGAGGCCCTGAGTGACATTGAAATGTTGAGTCGGCAGTATAAGGAGGTTCCTAGTAAGGACTTTGAAGGCAAAACCGACCAGTGTGTCCTAAGGTAATTTCCCTCTTATATTCACTTATTTATTACTTTATAACATCTAAAGGAGATGCACTGTCGACCTTCTCTGATTTTGCTAAAACCCCAAAAAGACTGATTTAGACCTAACCTCTTTTTTATCCCAGAGTCAAACATGCCTTAGAAATACTATAGCTTCATTGTTACATATATCAAACTGATATATGTTGGACTCTCTGGAAATTTGCGCATGACCCGATGATTTAAAACATAATAACCAGCAAAAGAACTTGTATGAACTGAAAGGCAAAAACAAATATTTAAATATTTTCAATTACAATGTGCAATAGTTGTGAAAGGTAATTCCAAGTGTTCAATACTTGGTATCAAGATAAACAATATTTTTCCAGACTAGAACAGAACCTCAACCAATCCTCATCAGGTAACAGGGAACGACGAGAGGCATGGAGTAGAGCAGCCAAGACGCTTAATTGTTCAAGAGCCAAGTTACTATATAGAGCTAAGCGACTCAAAAATGATTTAGGTACTATTTACTTTCAAACCAACGGTATTTCATTTTTGGAGAGAAAGAATAAAACTCGTTTGATCAGTCCACATTAACTGCCAAAGCTGACCTGAAAATTGTCCTCTTATTTTTCTAAAACTTGTAAAGATATAAATATTCTATTGTTTACAAAGCAAACCGGGAGGTTTTGAGGGGACCCCGGGGGGGTTTTTTTCCCCCCCAAAACTAATGGAAATGGGGAAATGGGTGAAATGGTCAGCTGATAGTGTAAATATAATCGAGAAAATAAAAATATAATTGTTTACAAAATGTTTTTTGTATATGTATGTAGTTATTTTTTGATACTGAGTTATTGAAACACTAATTTTATTTCTATTGCATTCTTATTTAATATTTACAATGCCTTAATATTATTTAAAAAAATATCTCTATTAAAGTGTTGGTTTAAAGTGGAGTATGTAATATCAGATGTATTTCTATAGACAAACTTACAATCTTAACTAACATATTAACAACATATTTCAGTCGCTTCAAGTCAACCCGCCCACAACAACACAACTAACTCTGCTTCGACAAATACAGCCACGTCAAGGGTCACCAATAACAACACAGCTGTTAAACGAAAAGCTTCTGAGGATCTGGAACAGTTAGATGAGTTCACTTTCCTAACGGCTGAAGAAAAGGAGGCCAAAATTGTTGATAGTCTTCAACGGTAATTGCTTGTATTGTATATATATTTAAAAAGAAAATATTAAATATATAACATTTAAAATTTAAAAATTGTTAAATGTCTTATTATGTGTAAATAAGTATAATTTTTTTATTAATTATCATTCACTTTAAGAATATTGATAAGAGAGTTTTTTTGTGGCCGAAGTTGTCTGTGCTACAACCGTGATCCACATGACGGAAGGTGCAACATCTATACAAGCCGAAATTCACAAACTAAAACCGAAGCGCGATTAAATTTCACGGCTTTTCATCTGTGAACGCTGGTTCTTGGCTTCGACGGAATTTCGATATTCCTACTACCCATTCAATATCCAGATTTAAAGACAAAGTCCAAAATCTTTTACAAAATGTTTAAATTGTTTTGACCCAGGGTCGATCCCCATTGGGTCAAACCCATAGTTTGTTGATTACTAGACCTTATTACTTGAGCAATGAGCATATCAGCATGTATATTTTGTTTAATTAAACATTTATGTAGTTGTGAAACCTCTTAATGGGTGAAATGGTCAGCTGATGGTGTGGACTGATTGCCTGTCTATAAATACAGACAGAAAATAATAATAATACAGTTGTGAATGACATAATTGTTGTTTATTGTTATCTGTATGTATTTGGTGATTTTCAGGCTAAAAGCACTGATCGATGAGCGCAAACCGGAGATGATAGCCACCTACAATGCTGAATGCGAACGGGTGCAAGAAGAGAGGTAACCATTTTCATCAGAATTTATGAAAAATGCATTATTACCATTTAGTATATTTTCATGTTAATCTTCCGTAGCTTAATAAGTAATTTTGTTGAACATTAATGTCCTGAGCACGTGTCAGCCTAGGTTTGAATCCAGGGAAAATGTTTTTTTTTTATTGTTGGGCTACATAATTAACTATTTCCCTTTAAAAGATGTATCAGTAAAATGGACACAAAAATATGTTCGCACGAAACGAAATTTAGCTTATTTCACTTTACTTATATAATATTAGAGAAAACTTACTGTTATTGAATGTTTTTATCCATTACAATATAGTTTTGTATAATTAACAAGGTCAGACCAGCACCCTTGAATGTGGGTTCGAATCCTGCATCCGGCTTGGATTTTTACATATTTAATTTATTTTAAAGCTATCATGGTTAATATCATTTGAAAATAAACTATAAAGTACCAATACCACAAAAAGCCTTTGTTATTGAGAATTAGTTTACTCAACTGTGAATAAAATAATTGCAGGAAAAAACTGCAAATAGCGTCAGGCGAGGGTGGACCCCACGTGGATAAGCGGCTGCCGAAACGACGTTTTCCCTGGTGCCCTATGAGCCGGGCGCTGCTAGCACGGCTGAGCCGGCTGGCGGGCTCCCCTTCGGCAGCTGCTTCACTGCTGGCCACGCGCGCACTGCCCCTCTTCCCCGCCGGGTTCGTCAGGATGCCCACGTTGTTACGACAGGCTGAGTGAGTATTGTTTTAAAAGAAACACACAGCCTGAATCTATTCTATTTGTTAACTAATAAAGCAATAGTGTTATTCATACATGGGCCAATGAGCAGGACCTATGGAGGTTGCTCACAATATCCTTAAAAGGTAGACAAGACATAAACACTCTGATTTAGCAAAAGCTCAGAAGATAGAAAAAATAAAAATAAATATTCTGAAGAGTCTTATTACTTTAGAGAGATGCAGAATAAGGTAAATTGGTGAACATAATTTGTGGACTGGTCACCTGGTCTTTGATTGGTGACCCCAAATAAAATGCAATAATATATACTTTCATGTCATCTAAAATTTATCATCTTAAAGGTTCATCCCTCTTTTCAGCCTCAATAAAGAAGTAAAAGCATCAGATCTAAAGCGACAACGCCTTGGCTCTATTTCGCATCAGTCAGCACAGCACCTCCAAACACAGCCACATCAGAACAACCTACAAACCTTCCCAGAACCCATACAGTTCCCCAGCTCTCTTACGGTTACAACAACAACCAAGCCGCCAGAAAAGCCAGAGAAAGTTTCCGATAAAACCACAGAGAAGCCTAACAAAGAGGAGGATAAATATGCTAATCCACTCTTTGGCAAGATTTTTAATTCTTTCGCTATGAATAAAGATCTAGTCATTGAAAATTCAGTGGAAAGCAAAAAGGAGCAACCAGTAAGTAGCATAACAATTACACCAGTGCCAAATAAAGAGAAAAAGGAGAAGAAAGAGCCGCTCATACGAGTGAAATCGCCAGCAGCACTGAATGACATGATAAAAAAGGATAAAAAGAGCAAAAGAGATAAAGAAACTCCTGTCCACATGGAAACAAAAGAGAAGAATAACGAAATCAGTCAGAAGCAAATTGATAATATGAAAGCCTTGGAAAACAATATACCACATCCGGCCCTAGTTCCCGTTCATCAATCACCAACGTTTGCGAAGCCAGATAAACGACCGCCTGAGAAGAAGAAGAAGGATGTCTTGATTATTTCTGACATGGATCCGCTAAGCGATAACCAAGAACCAGTGGCAGTGGATGATAGCAGTAGTGACATAGAAGTGATAGAGGACCGGGTCAGTGATAAAGTGGGTGAAAGTGACACAGTGCCTTCAGACAAAAGTGATAAAGGGAAGATTAAAGTTAAAAGTGATAAGGAGTGTAAAAGGGCTAGTGTTGATGAGTTCTCCAAGAAGGACTTTGAAATGCTCATGAAGGACTTACAAGAAATGGAGGTAATTTCACATTCAATTATTTTATTGTTGTAATTATAATCTATATGAAACATATAGTCTAATATAAAATTACTATCTTTATATCCAATAGCTCAGGAGAGAATTTTAAAATTATCTGTAGTTTATTCTAGTGCCACATTAAATAAACACTATTTATTTTATAGCAACTACTAAGTTTAGTATTCACAGCTGCTGAATCTAAAATGTTGGGTCATAGTTAAATTACTTAATATATTTTTGTTTTAAACGCTTGAAATCTGAAGAAAATAATTTATTGGTATGCTATCAATTTCAGAATTCACAAGAACAAACGAAGGTGGCATACAATTCCTTTGGTGGGGTCATCACTAGTGGTAAGTTTTTTGATCATTGACTGGCTGCTTTATGATATATTTAGCATATGCGGAGGCCTAAAAAATATTGTATACTATGAATATTAAAAAAACAATTTTCATCTGTCAGTTGTGAGAATAATAACATCTGTTAAAAATATAGGGATTTTTTTTTTGAATTATAGTTTTAGCCTCTCTCAAACACTAATATGAGACCGATTGATTTAGCTAAGCACGAGTCTTCCAAGCAAGCTTACAACCGGACAGTATTCGAATCGACAAATAAAAATAAATTGTAAGTTTCGCTTGCGTGTACATTTTGTGATAGTACCACGAATGGGCCATGGTTGCACTCATCGTTAAGATTTTGTGTACGGTATTTTAAGATAATCCATTAATACCTAGATTTAGCCTGGTGTGGGATAAAACTAAAACGTTAATTAAAACTCTAAACCCTTGTACAATGGCTTTCCAAGTTTCACTAGCAATCTTTGAAGTTAAAACTTCATTAAAGGTTACCACCTTTACCTGATCAAAATTCGTAAGACTGACATTATTATAAAATATATAGACAATAAAAAATTGTTGTTTACGTTAGCTCAATGAATGTATATTGTACTGTACTACATAAATGAGAGTACTTTTATTTAAAGCATTTAACGGTTTAAAACGTAAGATATATTATTAATTCTTATACGACTGGCGTAAACTACATACAATACTTGCTTTAATCTAATATATAAAATTCTCGTGTCACCGTGTACAAACTTGAACTCCTCCGAAACGCCTCGACCGATTTTCACAAAATTTCATATGTGTATTCAGTAGGTCTGAGAATAGGATAACATCTATTTTTCATCCCCCTAAGTGATAAGGGTGCTTCACCCTTAAATTTTCATTTTTTATTTTTTGGAAAAAAATTTTAATTTCAATTTTTTTATGATACAACATACAAAAATACATACAATCCTCAATTTTCACCCTTCTACGATCAACCCTTATTTCTGAATAGACATTTTAGTAAAATTATTTATATGGCAAAACAACGTTAGCCGGCTCAGCTAGTACTGATATAAAATTAAAATCTATTTGGATTGAACAATATTTATCAATGCTAACTAACAATTCTTGCGAAAATGCGTCATTAATCAATTAATATTTAATTTCCTTTTAGCTTTTTAATGTTATATATTACAAAGCAACATCGATAAAATGTAAAATTTCAACCCCACGCGAAAAACTCCGCTTGCTAGTTCCAAAGTATTGTAGTTGGTACACTTAAAAAACCATAAACAAAATCTTAACTGACATCTTCGTCGTTTCATTACGTTCATACCACAGTATTTCCTCCGCTTCTCTTACTTCTTTTTCTTTGAAGTGTCTACATATATGCATTCGGTTTTCACCCGTTAAAATAGCTGAGTATTGCTAAAACGTAAGGTACGGTGCTTTTGATGTGACAGTAACAGCTAACTTTTTTCATAAGTTGTTCAGTAGACTCGTTCTTTTAGTGGGTTCGGCGAATATCAAACGAAATTAAGTTACAAATAACTCTAAAAACGAATATTCTGCTTATCCTAAATAGGAAACATTTTGTATCGAAAATGTATTCATCCTCACATTACGAACACAAATGTCGCTGAATGCTTTGCTCTGTGATTTCTAGAAAAAATACTAATGGGCTTACATGAAAAATCATTGTAGAGTCCAACTGTAAATATTTGTAAGCTTAGGCTTGGCCCGTAATCTCGTTTGCGACAGACGAAAAACACAATTTGTAAATATTATAGTCATTATTATTATTATTAATACTGTCTATACTTTACGCGAGAGTAGTACACATTTAATTAAACACTTCAACGGTTTAAAACGCGATATATTAGTTAAACTTATTTGAAAATGATTTTTAACTTCGGCCCGACGTTTAAACGACGTTAAAAATAATTTTCAAATAAGTTTAAGAAAACTGTTTTAAACCGTTGATGTGTTTTATTTAAATTAGTCATTTTTAAAATCATCACTACATAATTTAAATTGCATCTTCTAGAGGTTTCTATAGATGTGTCATTTGTTCCAGCACAGAACGAACTTCTTTGAAAGAAATAGATGGATGTAACACAGTTACTGGTAAGTACAGAATAAACTTTTTTTTTCGTTCTTCCGTGATGCTCGGGGCAGTAATATGTGTTATGTCATATGGGAATACTGTGCCCCTTCCGAACGAAATATTTTTCTCTAGAAATATACCCCGGAATCTGTTTGTTTGGGGGAAAAACCAGATTATTAATTACAAAAAAAGTTGTAATTATGTGATATCAAAAACTAATAATAGATAATGTTGTTCTCAAAGAAAATAATATAACAAGTCACAAATTTTTAGTTTCGGACAAGAAATCTAACTGGATTATTATTGGAAGGATGGAGTGAATGATTCAACTTTAGTACACATTATAATGAAAATACCAATCTCTGTGTTTTATTTTATATTTTATATTATTTCAGGCTGAAGCCGCAAGGAACCAAGAATTGGAGACATCACGATTAAGTCATAATAATATTTATTAAAAAAACTAAAATTGCTTTTATATAGTCCCAGAAACTCCCAAGGTTTTTGTTATCGCCAACAAACACACTGGGTGAAATGAATTGCCTGTTATCCATATGAGTTCTAGAAGCGGCATATATTTTATACAGAATAGATTTATGTAATTTTACAAGAGCGTTGTAACGCCGAGCAGACGAGAATGTTTTGTTGTAAAAATGTTTATATACCTTTGTGTTTTCAATTGTTTTTTCACACTTATTTTCATTCGGTATACAGGGTGTCGTCACACTTATCATATTGATTTTAACACTGCATTAGACTTATTGTAATGCAACAATTTACAAAATCAATGACGATGGAATTTAAAAGACATATTATACATAATTAATAGCGCAAGAGTTGAATTTATCACACATTTTATGTTTATATACGACAAAACGCACCTAGCAGTTGTCATTGATTGTGTCTGTAGCTTAAATGTGATGTTTTTGTCAATTGGAATAAGCTTTCTTGCGCCAAAACGGGTCGGCCAATTTTAATGAAATTTTGCAATTATTTAATTATTATATCATTGTGATAAGTGACATCGCCCTGTATACTTAATTGTTGAAATCCTTTTTTCTCATTGTCTGTGTCTGCATTATTTTATTTCCAATTTTAACTGTAATATAAACATCGCCAATAAGTTATTGTTTAATGAATCGACGTTGGATCATATTTTTAAATATTGTACTCCTTATGGCGTTACGTTTGTTTTTTTTTTTAATTGCTCCATTCACTATATTTGTATTATGGCGAGGATTTGATAAAAACTAGTCTTTTAATTATATTTTAAGAATCAGTTTGGCATCCGGTGCGAATAAATCTAGAAATCTGAATGTTTTAATTGGATCCAAAATAATATGGGACCGTTCAAGTTAACGTATTGGGGGGAGGGAGATATCTTTGACCTTACAATTCTATGACCCAGTAATGTAAAGGCAAATAAACCTTTGGCTGACGCGATGTGATGTGATAATGTGAGACTTCTGTCGTGTTGCATCAGGAGCGATAACAATTGTGTCAGGGCGGAGGGGCGAGTAAAAACAACGCACACGCTATGTAGTAGTATTAGTGTCGTGTTTTGAAGCATCAGACCCAAACAAGTTATGTATATCGTAAATTGAATATTTTTAAAATCGGATAATTTTAGGAAAAAAAACGAATTAGTAAACACTAAATTTGCATGTGAATACTAACAATTAAGTTACGTCAACTCAGCCAAAAGTTAATTTATCTTAAGAATTTATGATATGTAAGAAGAAGTAGTATGTAATGTGTAATGTACGTAACCATAAGAGGGGGATTGTATTTTTCCTAACAAGAAGTGGAGGGGATAATAGAGGCAATTAATTTGATTGCGTTATACTTGAACGGTACCTGTTAATTTTTTGATTGTATTAAAATCAATGCAATTCCGAATTATTTTAATTGACGAAAGGGATACATTTACTATTTGATTTATGATTAAAATTATAAATAATGAATTTATTGACATATTACGGGAGTCTTTACGTGTACGTAAGGTCTAACTATACTGCCATTGTTCTATTGCCTAAGCCAAGTGTTTGTGTGTGAAGGATCTGTTTTAAAGTTCTTTGCGAGCGAAAATTACCACTTCACTTGTTAGTTTTTTTTTTAATTCCTTATCTGCTTTCTTCTAGTGGAAAAAAATATACCGACTTTTTTATTCCATATGCTCTATAGACCTGGATTCGATGAAACATGAAACGATAAATCGTCTCGTTGGGGCATGGCATAGAAGATGATGAACTACTTAATAAAATCGATCTGTAAAACGGCAACCGTGTGTTGTTAGCCCCAATCCCCACGAGGGAAAACTGCATTTCGTAACTTTTCATAACCCTTAAAAGATATAAACGGTAAGACGGCAGCTCAAAAATGTGCTTATAAACAATCCTTCATTTCCTAAAGGGTCAAATTCTTGTGAGTCATATACAACCTAATTTTAATGTAAACTAGATTTTTGTCGTGTCTAATAATGAAATAGGTGAAGAATGAAGATATATTATGAGAGGGCCTTGTAAATGTTTGCTATCAGATAGTCAAATATAACTAAATAGATATAAATATCTATGCTTTTATTATGAAGCATTAATTGGTACGGTCGGCAAAAAAAACTACACATGTCGATCTTTAAGAAACCAAATTGAATGCTTTTTAATGAAACCATGCTAATTATTATAGTGACGTTCTGCAAATAGACAGATTGTAACTAATATGCCTTTTATAATCACCGCGTGCTGGGTTCGATTCTCGAGAAAACACACTCGGACAGGACACAGAAATGAAGCCGGAGGTTCGGGAAGTCTGTAAATAATTCATCGCTGACACATAAATGTGTCTGCCCGTACATACGTGGGGAGGAAAAAGATATTGTTAGCTACATTTGAGCGTTTTGCTGCTGTGCAGGAAAAGTTGGGCAAATTATTTTTACATGAACGAATCTATTCATCACGCCAATATTATGTCTCCCTTTTGTTTTTAGTGAATGTATTTTACCAAAATTCCAGATTATGTCCAATGTATGATGAATAAATATTTATAATGATACCTGGTCTTATTTACGATTGAGGACAGACACGCCTGAAGTTCACTGATAGATGGTGAAATACCCAAACCACATATTCGCGAGATGGGGTATCGACCCATTTTAGCTATGACGCGTCGGTTACACATACTTACGACTTCTGGGCCGCCGCGAGGAGGCAAGGACTTAAGAATTGATATTTAAACGATATAAATAAAACAGTGGGTGTGTTTATAATTATTTTTTTTTATTAATTTCACAAAATTATTCAGTAAAAGCCACAACTCGAAGGCTTTTAAGCTGTCAAAGCGATGACGGATCGAATATTCCCATCGTTAGTTCCAACAGTGAGCTAAAACTGTAATTAGAAGCTATCTATTCTACATTACAAACGATTATAGTCTGTACGCCAAGACCACACCCCATAAAGACAAGCTTGTCCAACGATTGTGACGAAGCCGTATGTAAAAACAATGTCTTAACTTTAACGTGGTTAAACTATATTACGTATAAGAACAGCTCCGTGTATATGACGTATTTACGACAAGCAACATCCATCTCTAATATTGAAAAATACAGGGACGACGTTAGGGGGCAGGGTAGGACCCAGGGTGTCAGGAGCCCTAACGCCGGCACTGGAAATATGTGGAAGTGACCTAGTGACTTAATCTAAGTGAAGCAATGACCGTTCCACCTAAGCACGCGAAACTGAAATACCACACAAAGCAAGGACTGAAGGTAGACGGCCATCAACTCGCTAAATACATAAATATACTATTTTATAGACACATGTTTATATTTCGGACTGTAATATGAATGGGTCCCGAACGCTCTATATACAAAAGCATACATTATGCCTCGACAAAACTCAAATAGGCTAACCTCCCGAACTATAGTCGAAGAGTTTAAATTCTCATAAGGTACTTTTAGCGTGGCGACCTCTCTACTTCAATATACGCATTTCAATGTCTATATATTCGCTTTAAGTTATAAATATATATATAGCTATTAAAAGCTCAGTGATTTCAAGACCCTTGTAAGAATGAGGCGTGAAAAATATAGCCACCGGCCAAAATGGGCGAAAATAATTTCAAACACTTGTACACTTTCAGAAGCTAGTACCGATAATCTAGGCATTATAAATATATGCATATATCCGTATCAATTGCGACAACATACAAAAAATATCCCTTTCTCGCAATCCAATATACTTTATCATATACAAGCTTAAGCAAAAATAAACTCTTCATTATCTATGATTATATTATATTTATCCTAGATCCAACACGTACAACAAACTGATTTCAGAAATCACTGAGATACAACCGTCTACTGATGAACTAGTGATGTGCCTACGATTAAATGTAGCCACTGCCAAGTTAACAATTACTAAAGGATTATCAAAGAGAAATTTACTAAAACTGTAACTTAAGCATTTAAATACTATCTGTAGTTTACGGGAATAGTACACATCTAAATAAAGCACTGTAACGGTATAATGAGCGAAATATATTAAACTTATTTGAAAAATTATTTAAATACAGCCCGATGTTTCTACTTTGAACCAGCCGTGGTTACGGGGATAAAACCGAAAGGTCGGGCCGTGGTTAAAATATATTTCAAATACATTCAACTAATATATTCCGCGTTTTAAACTGTTAACGTGTTTTATTTAAATACATATTGTTTGACTGCTGAAAATAAACAAGCATGTACTTACATGTCTCAGTCAAAAAATTATGATTTTGAGACAGTTTATCTCATACATTTTACTCTTTGAACCTCGTAATTGTTGACTAGGCTAAAACCTCAGTAGCGATATCATTCGAACAAAGTTATTTCTTCATACCGTGCTCGCATTTTTCCAACAAAGCCTTTTATGAATCCTCCATCATCCAAGAACTTTAGTCGGAAACTTTCCATTGTCCGTTCCATTAGCTACACTAATCTACATTTTATATTTACAACCCCCAATCTCCCTTATTAAATACTGTAATTCATAATACAGTTGTAATTTATCGATGAAACAAGTTAAGACTAGCGTTGGGCCGATTGTGGTTTGAACTGAAACTGAATTTCGGTTCAAAAAATGAAAAGTCGCTTCGGATTTTCGAATTGAATGACAATGGTTAAGTCTCTCTAGGGCGACTTATATGTTTTGTATGTTTTAAATAAAAATAATAATATAAACATATATCACAACTTAAAAAGTTCTCAGTGACTTTTCTTCGCACCGATTATCGGCCCATCCCTACTATTAACGCCCATCACTAGTAAAAATGTGTGAGTCCAAGTGGTTTAAAATGGCTTGTACAGTTTTAATAGCGAGACTTACATTAACATGACTGACAGTCGATACAATATCGACTCATAAATATTGATTTAAAATTCCACGTGTCCCTTACCTTAGCCTTAATGCAACAATTTACAAAAGCATACTCGTAAAACTATCGACTAGTTTTTATTAGGTAACTATATTAACGAGACCAAATATTTAAATTATCCTTAACTAAGATATATTGAGTTTTGAGTGATATTGGTAACATTGTTGAGATCATAACATGAATTTAAAATGTTATAAATGTATATGCAACAAGAATACATTGTAAATATTATAAAGTGGATTATATGAAACATTTATTGGCATAAGACTATCCGTAAACACGCTACGAAATTGTGTTAACTTGTTTGCGGAGGTCTTATTTATAATAATAAACATTTTTTGTTATCTGTCGAGAAGCTTACCGGAGCTACGTATATAATTGCTTAGTAACACATTAGAAGAATCAAAAACTGTGAAGATATAAAAAAACAACAATAAGCAAATACTATGCCATTTGCACATCAATGAGTCACAACAGAACTAAAATTAACGAAGCGGGAACAAAATATTATTTGTGCAATTGTTTGAAAACTTTGAATGGCAGTATTGAGAAACATAATATTAAAGTATGACAACATTGCAACTCTATTTAAAGAATATTAATTATTATTTTAAATTGATATGAATAAACAATATCTATATTTTCCTATAAGCCATTGTTATTTATATGGTTTCCAAATTAAGAGTGAAAGTTATAATATCCTTAGAGGTATTTTGCTGAATGCATGGAGTATAGAGTAAAACGCTTATCAAAGACTGCTTGAAACGAAAGGGGACAGAAATTAGGTGAGTTCAGCGATGCGCAGCACTACACACAGCTTGCCCGCTCGGTCAATACTGTAAGAAGTCAATATAGGTCAGTATTTATCGGCATCTAAAAGAATAACTCGATCCTGACTCCTGGGGCTTACAACTATAAGATACTCGGCTAACTAAAGTATCTAACCACTACTATTTGACATGCTATGGTCAGCCAAGAGTTGTAGTTAAGTGAAAAAGAAAAATTTACAGTGTAAACTTTTATGAAAGATAAGTTTCATTAAGAACACAGATGCTATATAACTTTCTAGATTGATCTGTGCAGTCATCGTCATCGACTAGTCTAAAAGCTTGCAAAATGACCGCGAGAGCCTTATAAGATTAACAAATATGTACAACTTATTTCCGAATTATCTTCAAGTGTAACTTTTATCTTCATTAAATAAAGAGAGCTAAAATACCTTCCATTTTCTTAAAGTGTGCGTGATTTCAATTAGAGTTTATCCTAAAGTAGTCAAAAGGAAACTTTAATTTTGTTGTGAGATACGCACCTAAAGTTATTCAAGAAGCACGTCGGCCTGTAAGCGAGCCGACAAGCGATTTAAGCGCCTGCCCGAGAGATGCTCTTTGCGCGTCACTAGATGGAGGACTGCCTGCGCTGGTGCCGCTCGCGTTGGAGATGCCGCAGACGCCAGGCATGTTGCTAAAACTGCCGAGGCCCGAGAGACCGCCATGTGCGTCCAGGCATTTCTGATAGCGGAGCTGGACGCAATGTTGGATAACGGTGAGTTCATTTCCGGCTCGAAGGACCAATGTCATAATTTTTGGAAAATATCTTGACTTTAAATTGAAAATCCTGCACCAAAAGTGGTATACATACTTCACTTTAATTAATGTATTTTTACAAAGAATGTACACATTTCTTAGTGAAAAATACACTCATTAATTTAACCAGAAAACAATGTTAATGATAATGTTTATTAATATTATATGGTAACGGACACATTAGGACATTGAAACTTGAAGTAAACGAACAATTATATAAAAATTGTATATACATACTTCTATTTACAAATTTTCACTTTTGCTTATTTAGAAAAAATATACTAAAAAAACATACTATATTTTAAATGCTTAAGTTAGATCTTTGTACTTCATTTGCCTTACCTTGCATGCAGCCTCTATTGTCTTACAAAGTGCCCCAGAGCTGGGTTCCGCATGGAACGCATGCGCAACGAAGCTGTCCTGCGGCGTGTGGACTATGAACGCACAGCGACGGACATCGCGTCCTATGCCCAAGAAGGACAGATAGCGGACTCGGCACTCCACTATGGGCGTTGTTTCCTGGAATATAGAATTTTATTTATTTTAGAATTCAAAGACTCTCTAGACTAAGAAAGGAACTTCGAAGTTTTCGCATCAGAAGTATTAAAAGTTAAAATTTACGCCTGTAGTAAACATTAAAATAAAACGGTTTAAAACGCGAAATGTTAACTTATATACAATCAATGTAAATTACGGCCTGACGTCTGACAAGGAGGACATGTAATTAAGTTAGTCTTTTATTTAATGTATAGTAAATATTCTTAAACATATAAAAACCTAACTTACCCCTTCCTCAGTGATGGTAATACAAGAAGGCGCTACAGCCACGGCGACAGGACGCCAGGCGGACGGCGCCCGCGCAGCTGTGAGTCGCTCTAATGCGTCATTCAACACGTCCATACCGGTTGGCCTGGGTACCTCTGCGCTGCCCAAATAACGAGCTCGAACCGTCTTGCGGGGCTCTTCCATGGGTGTTGGGAACGAGGCACCTAGAAAAGGAACACTTCCTATATTAGGTACTGTTTTCTTTTATTTCTTTAGGTAGCAAAGATCTTTATTTTATGTACATGTGTACTATTCATTTGCAAACACAATAATGACACTAATCCAAAATGGTGGTTTGTACCTTAAAAACCTATTAAGATTTTTTTTTAAATCCGACACGGGTTTTATTTTGAACTTCATTGCTCTTTTTTCTGTGGGCGGTGGTTCCTGACCCATTGAATGTCCAGATATCCAGACGAAGTCCATCATGTTTCGGAAAAATTCATTAGAAAAATGTTGAACAAACCACCGTGTCGAACCCACGACCCGTACTACCATTACACCAACGAGCTCGTCAACATACATCACATTACAATAATGTCTTATACGCAAAACTTCAAATCTTAATCTTTCATAATTATAGATAATCGTACTCGGGCCCAATTTCTTACCAGACAAAGGCCGGGGTCGCCTAGCAGCCGGGAGGTCTGTGGGACGCGGCGGCGGCTGCAGCGAGCGCTCAATCATGATCCTCTTGCAGATGTCACGTAGAGTGTTGGCGATGGACCGAGCTGGTGCCTCGCAGCGGAACACGTGACACATGTGCTTGCGTGTCACTCTATCGCGAGCTACATATGCGAAGTCCCTGAAGATATTAAATGTCGCTTAAGTAGTATACAAGATCTACTGAATTTAAATTATTTCGATTATATTTTTTAGATTACATTTTATTAGAATTTTTGAGATTACAACAACAAGGCTTTAGTCTTGTCAAAGAATTGCCCAGAAAGTGACTTTGTATTGCTAAAAATAAACCTGTGATGCTGTTTACAGGTTTACTTTTAAAGTAAAGTGCTTTCGAAAACTCAAAGATTAAGACCCTAGCGAAGATTATTTTTCCAAGTAGAGTCTAACATGTTTTAAAAAAATATGAATTGATTATAGAAACATGTTGGGTGTTGGTGCATATGGGCAAGCACCAACGAATCTGTCAAAAATATTGAATAACCGACATTTGGTTAATTGAGGAAGCAAATTACGAGATAAAATATGTATAGATGTGCTTTTGAAAACGGAATGTATTTATTAATTTAACTACGGCCCGACTTTCAGATGCTTTGCAGCAGTCGTAGTCACGGCAGAATCAAATTAAGTTAAATAATATTTCGCATTTTAAATCGAAGTGTTTTACTTAAATGTACTTCTCCTGTAAACAGGCAATACTTAGACTACATACCTTTCACTATTCCAAGATGGCAAAAACAAAACAAATATTTTTAATTAGATAAAAGTGAAATTGCCACTCATTGTAACGATTTTTTTGTAGCATGGCTTTAAAGCCAGATGTTAAGTTATTCCTCACCGTCCGTTATCCCTTCCGACTCCCCAAACCCGTATGGTGTGTATGGGTTGCGTGTGAAGTGTGTTCAGACTTTCAGGGTCGATCAGTTTCAGAGCTCCGTCATCCAGATCCATGAATAAATCCTTGCCCTGAAAATTTTCAGTATGTACTTAAGATAAGGATAAAAATATAGTTCATCTTTGGTATATTTTCTACGATCTTCTTCATATACCATCCATCATGTTTCTAATTAATTTACAATAGTTGAAACATAAAGGACTTCGTAGGAATAACGAAATTCTGTCCAGTAAATGAACCACCGTCAGCAGATAAAAGCCATGAAGTTGAATCGCGTTTCGGTTTCACTCTGTGGATTTTCGAATATCCAAACCAAAATAGGCCATCAGCGCATCCTGTCACATGTTACATGGTTGGGTTATTTCACCTACCATCAAGTGAACCCTGCGATCGTTTATCCTCAATCAATAAATTTGGTACAATAAACCAAAGTCTACTTACATCTCCCCAACGCCCAACTTGATCCAGTAAATCATTCCGACCGAGACTGAGGTCCACGATGCACTTGTTCACGGCTCGGCTCGACCTCTCCGGAGTGAGATCAGCTTCAGAGATCTCCACCCAACCGAGAGACCTGACGAAGAACCGGACCGCACGCCCGTCGGACTCCGGACGCGCGGGGTAACTGCGGCGTCTTAAAAGATAACGACTATTATTCAAAAACGTGTATTACTATAAACATATCGAACCCATGAAACGTGCCAATGCCCTATCAATCTATATTAATATATAAAGCTGAAGAGTTGTTTGAACGCGCCAACTACGGGTTCGAATTGAATTATTATTTTTGTGTTGGTTAGAGCATATATCGAGGAAGGCTATGAAACATCGCGCCGTGACTAACGTAAGCGAAGATACAGCAACAAATGAACAAAACGGGCGTAATTTTTCATCACTGAGAATTTCAGATGCGTACGCTGCGAAGACGGTTCAAAACACGCAAAGATATGTATAATAGAATGATTCCTTTTTTAATGATGTAAGTAAATGTCCGCGACACTTTATGTCTATCTTATTGTAAACTTATTTGTGTTTTTTAATTCTGCTTTGTAATTGCTATGAACATAGTTATAAACAAATCTTAATTCGCATTTAATCGTGTTAATATATTTATTTTTTCACTGAGCCATTATCTATACTATTTGGTTTGTAATTTCAGCTTTACACGTCTAACTTGTCGTTATATTCCTCGCAAATGCATTGTTACTTCAGTATTTGTTTCGTTGTTTGACGTCATCAGGATTCTAAGCGAAGTTTCGATATCATGCGTGTTGGCAAAATATTTCATAACGATATTCATTTCGAAGTAATTTTTCAATAACGACGGCTTAGCTTTGCAAAATGGCCGCAAAAGTCTTATACAATCTATCAGGTTTTTATAAAACTTACTTGTACGCAATCTCCTCTTTCCGCTTCCTCTCAGCTTCTTGAGCGTCGTGATCAAGCGCACCACTGGTGGTACTCCTCGTCACTGACGTCGTCATCGGCCCGTCGTACTTGACTTCTGATAGGTTGGAACAATCCCGAACCATGGAAATTCGAGACTCACGCGCCTCTATCGGGGGCATTTTCGGTATCTCGCGTTGTATTGTTCCGCTCTTTATGTGCCAGTAGTAGGGGCCATCATTATCTGGAAATAATACCATGTGGATATAATAAATAGACAATTTGAAGTGTTCACAAATTTTTAGTAAATGTCAAATACCTCTCTTGAGAACAACGATTCTAGAACAAACTCTGACTTGGCTAGTATAGACAAAAAATTACGAACAGACAATACATACGAAAATAAATTCATAAAATAAGGTAGTGTGATTTTGTTGTATCTCTGCTTTGGAAACAAGGAAGTGGTAAACATTTTGTAACTATGACAACGGCTATTGTATAAAATTCCAAACGTCGGGTCAATTAACTTACTTATATAGTTCGCATTTAGACCTATTAAGTAATTCAGCATTTGATCTAACCTTCATGTTTTTCCCAACCAGGAGGTAGCGTCTCCTTCTTTGGCCTTAGCTTGACTGGAATAGCGTACAAATCATCGTTGGGCCCCTCAGCGCAATGAGGCACTGGTCCATTGGAGGCCGTGTGTAACTTCTCTGAGTCTTCTCGGTCAGCCCGTTCTTTTTCGGGAGGGGGCGATTCCTCCCCGCCATTTTGCTGCGGCGGCGTGATGAGACCGCAGTTCTCGCTACAATATTAAAAGGGCAGAAAAATTACGGTTTAAGGTTTATTCTTGCGAGAAATCTGACGGTGTGATTTTGTATCGTCATGCTATAAAAAATTTAGAACCGTACATAAACTGGCTGAGATAGTCACGAACTTAATAATTTTAAAGTACATGTGTTAGTGTGACATTAAAAATATTACTTTTCTGATATTAGACGCGTAATTATCAATTAAATACCCTATTATGTTCTTACAAGAAAATGTGAAGGTTGCCTAGTGAAGTCCGTGCATTGTTTCGATTATTTTGTTTTTATTATGACTTCCACTTACTTTCTACGATTAACTAGTGCTCTAGGCCAACCGATATAAACAAAACTAACTGTTAATAAAGACTAACTTACTTCACTTTCCCAACTGGTGAAGACGCCTCGTCTTCAACTCTGAAACAAAATATTTTCTTTTAAAGAACGAAATTAAAATGTACCTGGCTCTGTTTTCCTTTTAAGCGGATAATGTAAACGAAGAAGCTTTGTTTCATGTAATTACATACGTTTAAAGGGATACTAAAAGCGAGGGTAGGCACATAATTGTATAATAATTAGACGCTGCCTCCCTTATGACAGTTCAAGTTAATTAGATCCGAATGTAAGGCTTCGTCTAGTCTATACTTTGTTTCTGTTTGTTGTCTGTATTCATAATTCGCAGTGATATTTAATACTGTAACATATTTCTTTTTATTTTAATCTTATCGAATTATGTAGGTAGGTTGTACAAGACGAACCGAGATACTGAACTATTATATTATGGTCGATCTCCACTCCATAATTCTAATCAATTTATATTTTTTCTAAAATATGTTGGACTTTTACATAGTGGTAGGAATATCGAAATTTCCGTACGGGCCACAAACGCCAGAAAAAGCCGTGAAGTTTATTCGCGTTTCGGTATCAGTCTATGGATTTCCGAATATCCAAAGCAAAAATAGGTCGACATTTCGCCTTCCATCAAGTTAACCTCAAGCTTATCTTTCCACTATCATTAAACAAAATTGTACTTCATAACATGACATTATAAAGTAGTAGTACATAGTTTGTTTCTGGGAGCGGGTAGTTACAAAAGCTTTCATACGTAAATACCGTCAAATTTGACCGCTTTGTAAGTACATTTAGTGGCCAGTTTGCAAGTTGGGTAGTTAGCAGTTTGAGCCTCGGAGTCTTGTAAATTAACCATGAGACTGCTTTATTACCGATCTCAGTCTTAACAGCTCTTATTTCGGGCATTTTATGTCTACCCTACTTTGTGTTCGGAATATTTTAACGTGCGGCGTTTGTTCTTGCACAGAAAGACTGTTTCAATGCATTTTAATTTATCTACACTAATCGTTTAAAGCTGTAGACTTTGTTGCTTAAATGCAATAATCTAAAATAGGCCAACAGCGCATCTTATTGGAATGTTATATAAGTGTACCCCATGCTTGTTTGCGCTAGAGGCAGAGTAGCCTAACTGCAGTTTTATGACTTGAGTTATTAATATTTTCATAGTATAAAAATGTTAACCTACAAGAGCAGAGTGACCGAAAATTGTTACATAAATAATAGTACAAATACATTTTCGCCTAAGTTAATTGCGCTTTTTTTATTTTTCTCCTTATTAACTTATATATAGCCTCATTAAACTGCATATCCTTGCTAACTTAACACAAGCCAAGTCCCTCGAAATGCGCATCGCTTTGCAACGTGTCTAGAGAAGAATAGACGCGTTTCGATGTCAAGTCGTCTTTAGGGGTTCTCGACACGTGTCAAGTACTACACCTATTGTTAACTTGCTTCTAGTAAATTTGCACTTTAATCTACTCACAGCGAACAGCTTATGCTTAATACACTTAAAACGTTGTAAGCTAAAAAAGCATTGTATAATGGCCATAATGATTGTGAGAGTTTTGACGAATTTAAACGCGATAGATCTAATAGCTTAGAAAATATTTTTAACAACGACCCGACAGAATGGCTGTGCAGACAAATACTTACATATTATACATTATTTATAGTTAGTTTTACTACTACATACAATAGTTATTTAGTTATAATATATTATATTTTGTCGTGCTTAATACGTGAAAATTTATCTACAGTTCAACGATCGTTTGATTCGCAACGGTCATAGTGACGGGGGGGACTTTAATATATGTCGCGTTTAAAACCATTAAAAGTGTTTTATTTAAATATATCTCCAGTTTTGTTATTAGTCTAAGGATATTTTAAATTCGCTATGTCCCTAATGACATCGGAAATCAACGTATATAAATAAAAAGTATTCTTAACCATCAAAATAAAACACTTTAACGGTTAAAAACGAGATATATTAGTTCGTAACGTCCGAAACGTCGGGCCGAAATTAAAACTCATTTTCAAATAAGTTTAACTAATATATCGCGTTTTAATCCGTTAAAGTGTTTTATTTAAATGTATACTACTCGCGTAAACTGTAGACAGTATTTTATGTTCAACCAAATAAGGCTCATTTAAATATAATTGAGACGAAAAAAACTTTTCAATCGAACTATAAAATTAGCATAAACCTTTGGATGTTAATAAATCCTTTAAACAAACATTGAATCCGAAAGCAGCAGTATTTTATGTTACCAAAGGAAATACGCCATTACTGGGCATACATTCCTCCATCGGGAATCGTTATATCAACCCCGCATGCGACTGTACTGGCTATACTTGGTCTAATATAGGATGGTAAGTTAGAGATTTTGCTCCTATGAACGATTATTCGGTAAAGTGTAGACATATTATTGTATTGACTTGCAATATCGTCAATTAATAACTTGATAACGTATTGAAAATCGATAACAAATTAAAATTTATTATCGTATAACATAAGTTGAGACATTCCATTTTCCCCTATAGATATAATCTTTGTTTTCGATGAATTAGATACATTCCCGTTTTTTATAGTATTCCAGAGTTGCGAACCTGGAACCTCTTTGGAATTTATTTTAAAATAATATCGAAATAGATTCAGAAAAGATTGACGCAAACCGACAGACACTCCTACATCAGACAAAGTATAGTTCAAATTTGAAAAGCTCTGCGAATCCTTTGTTTTCCCGACGGTTAGCGGAAAAGATTTTTTTTAAATTGTGCATCGGTCTCTCGAATAGAATAGATTTTTCCCATATGTTCGTCATTGTGGACGAAACAATAGAAGTGTGTTATAGAACAACCGAGAGTTTCTATTATGTTTCGCCAGATCTTGAACCCAAGACGACGGTCCTTCATAATATTCTCTACAGAAAATATAAAACTTTTGTATCGAACACGACGTAAAACGGGGAACGGACGCATAAAACACATGTTTAAACATTCGCTGAAAATAGACTTTTATCGGCTGTCAGATATAAATGTGAAGATGGGAGATAGCGGAGTATAGATCGACGTGAACGATATTGTTTTGCATTGAAAGCTCACAAGGCTGATGAAAAAAACAAGTTAATATTTTCATATATGCACATTATATTCTTTAAAGACTCGGGAGAATAGGTTCATTAGACGGAAGATGCGTTGTCGGCCTTTGGACTTTCAAAAAACACAAATAGGTTTTAGATAAATGTATTTATTATAAGAGATCCACGACCTGGAGCCACAGGGGAAGGGTGATTGATAGTTTGAGCCATTTAACAATCCGAATCATGTGATCGACTTACACCAATAGTCACGATAAGGTCGTGACGTCACTAGCCGTATTGCGTTATTTCGCAAAATTAGCGGTTAGGCGCGCAATTTAAATGTTGGACTTTCATTTTTGATGAATTTCAGAAAATATGTATCAGAATTAACAAATACTAATTTCTGAGTTTCCTTAATGTCTACTATATTATATAAAGTACATTTTAGAAATCCGTCAGATAGCCCATTATAATTGACTATTAGTAAAAATGCGAATGACATAAAATGATATAGATTTTGTCTCTGATCTTATAAAATACTTTTAACACGAAATGTCTGTAATTTACGCGAGTAGTACACATTTAACGAAACGAAACGTCGGGCTATAATAAAAATGATTTTTAAATAAGTTTACCTAATATATACCGTGTTACAAACCGTTAAAATGTGTTATTCAGACGTCGTATTGTAATTATTTCATATAATTCTTTAAATAATTTTACTACATTTCAACGGTCAATAGCAAATGTTATTTAAGACTGCAACCGGTATTTGCAGACATCGAGTCTACTAAGAAATTCTCTTCAGCTGCAGAATTCAATGCAATTATATGGAGACTGCATCTCTGCGCCAGGACAGCAAAAGACAGACGTGACTATAACCCCAGCGATTGCTTCGGAGATCAGGGAAATTGGAAATGAAAATCTATCGAAATATTGAAATGTTTCTCACAGCATGCATGTGAAATACATCTTTCAAATAAAGACACAGACATTACGACTATGACCTAAAATTTTATTTAATCGGATTGACTCTTCGTGGATGAAATGTGCATAGATGTAATACATAATACTATATTTTAAAAACTTACATTTAACATAAAATCCTTACTTTTTCCAATTTCCCAGCGTCTTTTACCTTTACTTTCGAGTGATGTTAAATATTTAAGAACATTTTAAATGCCTATTTAAAAAAAAAAAAGAAATATATATATATATTTCTCAAAAAAGGTATCGTTAACTCTAAATGAATGGTCCAGTAAAATTATTTGTAACTAATTCATTACTATGTATAACTGTTTAATGTTTGATTGACTTTAGTCGTTTCAACGAAATTTAGATAAAAATTATTTTAGCATTTTAGTCGCCCCGGGATTAGAATAACGAGGTTTGTCCTCGTTCGAGTAGAATTAGGTATCTAATAGAAGAAACAGTAACATACAACAAACTTGCATTTTATCTAAGAAAAGTTGTAGCAATAAAAGCTGCTTTTTGACTAGCCAGTACAACATAATAATCAATTCCTTTTTAAAAATTAAGTACTGATATAATTTCATTACTTTCTTCATTCATATAACAAGGTTTACGTTTACCATTACATTATAAACGGAAATCCTGAAATACAACTGTGCTCGGAGTTGCCAACATTTCGTACTGATCATCAACAACGCTCAGGACTAGAAAGTATCTAGAGAATATTCTAGATTCGGAGTTTGCCGTGTCACGTACTCTCTTACAATTCCAAGTTGGAAAATAGTTTTCTCTTCAGCCTTATTTCTTGTGTTTATAACTTGCTTTACATGAGAAATACAGCGTGTATAGGCTGAGGGGACTCCTCCTTCTACTTACCTAGTTTGCAAATTGTTTAATGTATTTAAATAAAACTCTTTAACGCAAAAAATATGTAATTAGAAAAGGCAGTGGCGTACCAACACTAATAGTATAATAATAATATAAAATAAAAATAAATAAAATAATTTGTAACAT